ATAATTTCAAAACAAAATTAGAAACTTTCTTTTGAATTTTTTGTTATTCCTCTGTACTAGTAATGAAGAAATTTTAAAGAAAATTTCTAATTTTGTTTTGAAATTATGTTTTAGATTATTATTTCCATTTATTTAAAGATATTACAAATATATAAATATTAAAAATAATTTATAGTTTTTGTCTTAAGAAAATTACAAATTTTGTTTATAATTTTTACTGGTCAAAAATGGGAAAATAAATTTCAAATAATGTTTATCATTATGTAAGTTATTTTTTAAGGTAAGGAATTGTGAAATGCCCTATGTGGTGATGTACTGTAGTAACCATACTAACTGTAGTGCTCATACTAGTACTTTTTAAGTTAAACAAGGTTGTTATATAGTATTAAAATGATTTGGTATATAAATAAGTAAAGTAAATAAGGTTTAGAAACTCAAACTCAGTATTTAATTAGAGAATATGCTTAGTAATACTGTATACTTGTATACAGTGTATACAGAAATTTTTTACTTATAGTATATACATACATGTGTAAATATATACCTGTATTTTCAGCTAAAATTTTCTCTTACAATACAGTGTGTAAGTGTATACACTGTAGGCATATCTGTAAATTATGCTACAGTGTAGAGCACTACTAGTATCATACACTAAAAGGGCTATGGTTGTGATTTGCCAATATTGTTTGATTACTGTAATTGAGACAATTTCTTGTATAATACTAGGATCAAGAGGCCATGAGCTATCTTTGACTGAAAACAATGTTATCAGAGAGTGCCTATCTTCAGATGATTGCTTGAGTAGAAGGGGGCAGGTGGGGTGCTTTTCAAAACACAATTGAGCTTCTATCTTATAGTACAGAACAAGGACACAACATTACAGTATTGAAACAGGAGATCAGTATGCTGAATGATCCTTGTGTCATTACCATCTCAACCACTGAAGATGCAATTGTGCTTAGAAGTTTGTCAAAGAGACATCTTGAAACAACAACAGAAGTTTGAGACAAGAGTAAGTCTTTGTGTGTGTCTACAGATCAAGAGAAAGAATGAATACAATGTAACCTACCAGACATGTTCAGTTTTCATTAAGAGTCTAAATTCTGTGAAAGAGATTCTAGTTGATTGACCTGATCATTAGGGTCACATACTACAGAAGATCAGTAATCAATTGAAGATCTCAGATTGTTTTATTGAGAGTCTGTGATGAGCAGCTATCACTAGCTGCTCTCTGAACTACTGTATTACTAGATATAGCATTCAGACACCAATAGTGAGATTATTAAGGAGTTGAAGCCAGTGGTGGGACTCAGGAACATTTACTAGGCTGTAGCAACTGGTGCATCCCAGCAGGAGATCAACTGAGGTGGACAAGCAACGTTTAAGTAATAGTCGTATAGGTAGTGAATGCATCTGAGTGAACGGGAAATTGTGAGATATGACCTTGTGATCAACCAGTGACTTCACTGCCAATATTTACACAGAGGAAACCTGTAGTATAGATGCAGTAAGGCTCATGTGCTCTGCAGTGGCGCAAATATTGTCAGTAGGAGACCCTACATTTAGAGTTAGCGTATATCTTGTCAAACTGTGACTCGAAGCATACCTTCGCTCCCAGCTGGCTGCTCAAATTCGATGTTGCTCAAGGTTTTAATGCGATAGTTGGTCCCTTCGTTTATGCCTAGCTTTCCCGCTTCCTTCAAGTTGAAGAGTAATCGACTTCCTAAAATACAAAGGAACGACGGATTCCCGATTTGTTTTAGGAGAATTGCCAAAGTGTTGTTTCCGGTAAGCACTTTGAACTCCATTATATTGAAAACACAGCACAATATTGCCCTTACTAAGAATGTTAGTCGGCACTTAGCGCAACCATCGTGCTACTAAACTCACAAGAGGAAGTATATCATCTGATCTCGGATAAGGACCTTAACAAGTTTGAATCCTTTGAGTCCATTTGATAATTTCCAGTATTCTCCGGCTCTGTGTAGTGCGAGTAACATCAAGATCAGCCCATACACCATTGGAATGGTCCTAAATTGCGTCAGACTCTGAAGCTCCGAGCTATTAAATCATATTTACCAGTCAATGACTTCTACTATAAAAAATCCGGAATAGTGTACGCAGTGTGCGATGTCCTTTGTTATTGACAAACTAGTGACTATAGCTAGTATCAGTTTTGAGTTGCAAATTAAGTGCATGGCCGACCCTGCTCGGACCATGTTCTGTAGAAAAGAATCCCAAATTTAGCAGCCGCTTCCAGGCCAAGAAGAATTGTCAGGAGCGTCGACAGAGTTCTCTCTGTTACAATTTCAGCATACTGGCGCTCCTTAACTTATCTCTGCACATACTCCGTGAATATAACGCCAGGACTCGAATCATAAGTATATCTGCATATAAATAATCAGGGAGAATGCAGGAATAATGAATGAAATAAGTTACAATCAACCAATATTGTAGTGATCCAATCTAAAAGGCCAGTCATATTGTTGAACAGATTACTTAATAACTAGTATGCTTACCAGAAGTGATAGATGCCCAAGTAGAAAATTTACCTGTAAAATGTTGAAGTCTCCGTGAATGTTTTTTAACATAGTGCTCACAGCTATATGCTGTCAACGTAATCAAATAGAAGCAGCTGTACGAACTCACATTTCTGGATCAGCATTGATATCAAACCCTAACATTCAAAAATATGTTAGCAGGCGGAAACGATGCGATTTGCAAAACGCACAGAATATGAACACGATTGCCCCGAAAATACCGACATATCGATTCTAGACTTGTTGAGGTAGTGAATTATTACTCAAACACAAACAACATACAATGAAATAAACCAGATTAACTGGTTTTTTGATCGAGCTTCCCTGGATGGTGTGGTTTTCAGTCGCGTTTGAAGGATGAATATATGCAATAAACACAATACCCAAAAGAACTCAATCTATTAGGCAGGTAATTATTGTTCACACATACTCGTTTAGTCTATGCATACCTCTCTATCCATCGTAATAACTTTTCGTAACTTCAGAATTGATAAACCTCGACCGGAAGATATGCCAAGAGAGCGTACTGGTGTCATACACCAAAAGGGTAACGGTCGCAAACTGCCAATACAGTCCGAGTGTTAACTCTGAAACAGCTTTCGATACAAGATTAGGATTGAGAAGCTCTGAGCTATTTCTCAGTAAAGGAAACATCGAGTATGACCTAGTATCTCCCGGTGATGAAAGAGTGGGAGCAAGCAAAGCCTACGCCTCTAAAGGCACAGACGAACCGCCTTATAGTGTAAGGCGGAAAGCCTTTAACTTAGTGTCAAGAGAATCAGTACATCAAAGCATCAAGAATATCAAGCGTTGTGTGAGACAATAGGACACTGATACCCACATCATCAGAGGTACTTTGATTGCGCTTTTTCAGCTTGATGGAAAGTCGAATTTACAGCTACAAGGAAAGCAGGTCTGCCTCTGGAGTAGCTTGCCTAATAGAACAAGATTACGATGCAGGACATCCAGACACGACCCCACAAACCATCTGTTCCTAGCTATGCAGCAAGATATAGGAAGATTATCCAGCTCAGTCGCTTTGATGGCCAGTTTCACGTATGCAGATATAGAAAATCACTCATCAGTTGGGAATCTCAAGCGTATCCATCAAGAGTTCACAGCAGGAAACCATCGCCAACAACTGTCCGATCTACTCCACGTCCATATAGAACCTTGGCACGCTGATAATGAGATTGAACAGGAACTGAAGTCAGCAATAGGGCCCGGGGCATTGCAAGACCGTTGTCACTGGTGCATGCTAGCAGAAGGTCAACTGAGGCGAGCAATCAACTACTAAATTTAGGGAAAGGTTAGATCTCACTACACGAATACTAGTACTCCATCAGAGGTTCCTTGCCTTGTTTTGCTCCATGCACAGGTCGCGAGGGAGAGGTACAACCATCAGAATCACAATAGGAGCTAACAATCATCATTCAGTCTCAGTTACCCTGCTGGAAGTCGTGATATGAGACATTGGATCCGAATTCAGTCATAGGGAAAGCCATCCGCCTCGAGTACAGGATCGGTCTCGTCATGACGAGTCGCCTCACTTCTCGGTGAGCGATGCTTTTTGGGACGGGAGATCTTTGCCAGTGACCCAGGTGAGATGTCTTGAAATGAATCTTCCATGTAATCATCAATGGCCGGGTTTTGATTGTTTTCTGCACAAAAGAAATGATGGCGTTAGAGCAAGTAATGTAAAATACTGCGGCGTAAATTAATATTAATGCTCCAACCATGGTCGTGCGAACCTTGCCTGACGCGTCTTGACCGGCCCTACATGCATTACATCAGCACCTATCTCTATGTATGATCGACTTGTATATCCTTCGTCCTTTTACCAATGTGTCGCCCGACACATGATAAAGTCTATCGAGAAATCCTCCGTACATCGGATAACATCAGGGCAGGTCCTTGTTGATCTTCAAACAGCAGTGAAGGAACTGGTCGAGAATAGTCTAGATGCCGGTGCAACAACTATAGGTGTGTTCCGTTGTATTCCAGAAGACGAGAAGCGGAAGGGCGAATAATTATCCACTGATTTGTAGACGTCAAGTTCAAGGACTATGGCTTACAATCTTTCGAGGTTATTGATAATGGCAGCGGTATAGCTCCCGAGGACTACGATCATGTCGGTAAGTGTATACGTGCTCGATCCGCGTGCGAGATGCTAAAATGTCTCAAAAAGCGATGAAGCACCATACGTCAAAGCTCTCATCATTTGAGGACTTGACTACCGTTCAGACTTTTGGATTTCGTGGAGAGGCATTGTTCTCGCTTTGTGCTCTTTCTGATCGAGTCACTATCACAACGGCTACGACAAAGGAGGCACCCATGGGCACAATTCTTGAGTTCGACAAGTCCGGGAAGGTGAAAAATCGGTCAGGGAAGGCTGCCAGACAGGTTCGTGAGTATGCTTCACTTGTAAAATTGCAACAGTCCCTAACCGTATATGTAGAGAGGTACAACAGTGCATGTCGAAGGGCTGTTCGGACCACTTCCCGTTCGTAGGAAGGAGTTTCAGAGGAACTCAAAGCGCGAGTTTGGAAAGACTCTGAATATATTGACCGCATACGCCCTCGTACCATGTACGAAAGAGAACAAAGGTGTGCGTCTAAATGTCGTACATATTCTAGACAAAGGGTAATTCCTTGGTCCTTCTACCGTGGTGTACTTATGCTGATTACAACTAGTCGTAAGTCAGATCAACTTCGCACAGATGGGAAGCCGTCTCTGAAGGCGTCGATATCCTCTCTCTGGGGCCCGAAGCAAGTTGATTCCTTAACGGACCTGAGCCTTGACCTTGAGGTGGTACCCGAAAAGACTGTCTTGAGGAGACAAGGAAATGCCGACCATGACGGATCGTGCGTTTGTTCCTCTTTGAATATTTATTTATCCTGATAAAAACTTTTCAATTCAGAACGACAAAAGTCAAAGTACGCGGCCTCATATCCAAGTTCTCACCAGGACACGGACGAGCAGGCCCAGATCGTCAATTCTTCTTTATCAACGGCCGTCCATGTAACCCTTCTAAAATTCAAAAGGCTTTCAACGAGGTCTATCGATCATTCAACACGAATCAAAGCCCATTTATCGTCGCGGACTTTATCGTGCCGACTGACAGTTATGACGTTAACGTCTCTCCAGATAAGCGAACTATCTTGATACACAGCGAGAACGCGCTTGTGGATGCGCTGAAAGGAGGTTTGGAGGCTGTATTCGCCCCGTCTCGGTCTACGTTTGCCGTACAGGCAACACAGGCGAAGTTTGGTACGCAGAAGAACACGAAGACGTTAAATAGCAATGCAGCGAGTACAACTAGTTCGCAGGATGGTCCGAGTGATCTAGCCAGCTTTGCTAATGCTGACGACTATGACACGAACGATAAGGAGGTTACAGCAATTCCACCGACACAAAGAAGTCCGACACCAACTCTCGCTGTCCCCGCTAGCCTCCTTGGAAGCGAAGAATTGGAGGAGACATCTTCCGAGGGACCTACTCAGATTGGCGATACTGATATCGACACAAAGCCATTGTTGTCATCCGACGCTCAGCCTGAACCGTCCCTACGTCCAAATCACAACATTTCAGCGTCCGACTCTGCAACGAAACCATCCGTTGAGTCCTCATCATCATCCCCACCTCAGGATGCATCCTCAGCGGTATCTACAAAGCCAACCATTCGTCCGGTTCAAATGGTCCTCGACACATCAAGTACTTCGTGGGGCATGAGTCCCGTCAACAACGCCTCCTTCGAACCGGCACGGAAAAGACGAAGAGTCGATGGTTCGAAGAGTTCGAATTCAAGGACGAGGTTGCGCTCGAAACTTATATCATTCCGTGCTGTTGGTACACAGCCTGCGGCTGATGACGAGAGTAATGACGAGCTCGATTCTGAGCCTATGGATGAGGCTGAGGATACTACGGAAATGAAACGAGAAAAGCGTACTGCGGAGGGCGATGAACTTATGGAAGAGGAATTGGAGGAGATACGTATGGATGCAGAGGCTGGCATCAAAGAACTGGGGGTACCAGATGATGTTCATGATCAGGGGTCGTCTAACGATCGCGAATCACGGAATGGCGATGACGGTGGAAGCAAACCACTCTTCCTACCTGATCTAGAAGAGCCTCCGACGCCTCGACAGCCTACTACTCGGATCAAAGTAGAACCAATAGACGTTGACTTGGACGCTGGTAATAGCAATTCGACGATTTCTTCGTCTCGTGCCAAGACTAGGGGTAATGTCGAAGTTGTACGCACGGCAGACGTTAACGGCGACACCATTCTACCATTCAACTCCGAATGCATCTACTCCATATGGGACTCTTTCTTATCGGAAGACTCGTCAACATCTGTTCCAAGTCCTGCAAGTCCCGAAAAGTGCGAAGTGCAACCCATCGATCCCTCAGCAAGCCTGTCAAACACAACAGACGAAGAAAGCGCCGAGCGGGAACTAGCACGCGTGATAGACAAGGAGGATTTCTCATCCATGGAGATCATCGGACAGTTCAACCTGGGTTTTATCATCGCCCGACGTCGGTTGCGAGGGAAGAAACCATCAGTACAGAGCTCAGATGACTCGCAAACAGGGCTGGATTCGTCTGCAAATGCTGAGCTGGATGATTTGTTCATCATTGACCAACATGCTGCGGATGAAAAGTACAACTTCGAGACTTTGCAGCAGACGACGAGGATTGATTCGCAGAGGTTGTACAAGTACGCTTTTATTTCTTCAGGTTACAATTTAAGGTATAATGATGCGTGAAACCAGGCCCCGCCCATTAGAGCTAACAGCAGCTGACGAACTCCTTGCTCTCGAGAACATCGACATTCTCAAGAGCAACGGCTTCGAAGTTACTGTCGATGAGGACGCTGAACCATCGCAGGGCCGCATTAAGCTCGTCGCTCAACCAGTCAGCGGGAGCACGAACTTCGACATGAAAGGTATTTGCTGTCTTCACTAGTCAAAAAAGGCAACCTTAAATTAGAATTTGTTTTACTAGACCTCGAGGAATTACTGCACCTTATGCAAGACAAACCGGCAGGTCAGAAAATGGTACGATGCTCCAAAGCACGCGCGATGTTTGCTATGCGAGCATGTCGGAAGAGTGTCATGATCGGGATGGCATTGAACAATTCGCAAATGGTTTCTGTACGTCCTTTCCCGTTACTTCTCCCGTCTTTCATCACTTACGCGTCCACGTTATCATCTATTTTTGCAGATTGTGCGTCACATGGGTACTATGGATCAACCTTGGAACTGTCCTCACGGGCGACCAACAATGCGTCATCTAACTAGTTTGAGCAACACCTCACTTGGCGTTGCCGTATCCGTCGGGCCATCTTCAAGGAGCATTAATTGGAATAATTTATAGTCCTACGGATCTATTACCGATTTTTATCGCGGATCTCTGCTTGTTTATCCCGGACATCTACTATTCTCTCGTCATCTCAGAACATGGATTTCTTGTATTACATAATTGAGTACTCGCTGCTCACGAATTCTATTTTCTCACCGATCGTTACTTCTCAGCTCGAGATGCCCATAGTTGCACATGCTTCGAGACTATATAAGAATAATACTTCCACATTCCAAGGTCTTGCCTTCTCTATACTTGGGGCTGTAGATAAGGAGGGTCTGCATTTGTTTCCTTGTCTGCAGAGATAAGGAAGACGTTCGTTGAGCCCTCTAGGACGTTCAGTCCCCCTACGGACTTCACATCAATAACATGAACTGGAAAAGCGGACTTTCGGTTCTAATGAGTGTTCTATCTCTCCTCGGCTCGAACCGCTTAGCACTCACATCCGCTATAAAAAATGAGCGGGACTCCCAAACAACGTTTCCAGATCTCTATGAAGCATCTATCTCCGAACTGCAAGATGAGCTTCAGAAAGGACTTTTCACAAGTGTGGATCTCGTCAAGGTGAGTATTAATCAATGTTCAGTTTCATCCGTCAATGCATTCGAAATATTAAATTTTGAAATGCGTAGGCCTACTTCGCTCGTATCGAAGAAGTAAACCACCAAGGGCCATCTCTCAATGCTGTAATAGAGATCAATCCGAGTGCTCTTGCTCAAGCTGCAGAGCTCGATGATGAGAGGAGTACTTCGGGTCTACGTGGTCCACTTCATGGAATCCCGATCATCGTAAAGGACAATATCGCGACGTTAGCTAGTGAAGGCATGCATCCAATCTTCAGAATACATAGACCCAATTCTAACGTGTACACCTGTTTCGTGTTAGGAATGAATACGACTGCTGGATCTTTCGCCCTTCTCGGGTCCGTTGTGCCACGGGACGCAACGATAGCAGCCAAACTCCGTGCGGCGGGAGCAATCATCCTTGGTAAAGCAAACCTCAGCGAATGGGCGAATTTCCGCGGACGCGTGCCCTCCGGCTTCTCAGGTCGCGGTGGTCAAGCTACGAGTCCATACCTTGCAAATGGCGACCCTTCTGGTTCTAGTTCGGGAAGCGGTATCAGCTCTGCAATCGGCCTTGCCGCTGGTGCTCTAGGGTCTGAGACCGACGGGTCGATATTAAGTCCGAGCTCGAAGAATAATTTGGTGGGTATTAAGCCGACCGTAGGGCTGACGTCTCGAGCAGGAGGTACGTCTACCTACGATATTCTACAACTTAACAATCAGCGTCTCGCGTCTCTGAACGAAGGTTTCCACTCCAGTCATCCCTATCTCCTCACACCAAGACACAGTCGGCCCAATGACACGATCCGTCGCAGATGCTGCAGCAATTCTCACTGTTATCGCAGGTCGAGACCCGCTGGATAACTTCACACTCGCACAGCCAGAGGTCGTGCCTGATTTCTCACAGGCCCTGAATACAGATGCGCTGAAGGGAGCGAGGCTAGGAATCCCGAGGTTGTTCCAAGGAAACGATCCAAACATTCTTAAAGCGTTCAATGAGTCGGTGGAGATTATTAAAGGGCTTGGAGCGATAATTGGTTGGTCCTATCACCGAACTTACTTCTCGTTCTCTTGAGTCCTCACGTTAATATTGTCATTGGTTTGCAGTTGATCCAGCAGAATTTCCAGATGCAACTGAAATACGGCAGAGCAATAACGAGTCAACTGTTCTGACGGCTGATTTCAAAGTGATGTTTCCTGACATTATACATATTCGTACTGGCTTATTGAATAATGTTCATAGGTCGATGTGAATAACTACATTGCTGGTCTTATGGAAGTTCCGACAGGGGTAAAGGATCTTGCCGACTTGATTCAATTCAACATCGACAATGCATCCGAAGAGCTCATCCCGCCTTTCTATACAGATCAATCACAGTAGGCTTTTCATTCTCTTCGACTGCTTTCACGACAAGATATGAAACAGCCAACACTTGCTTTGTACAGGTTTATTGCATCGGAGAACTCAACAATGGACGATGCATACTTTGCTGCACTTACTGCTGACGAAGACTTGGGACGAACGAGAGGAATCGATGCAACTTTACAAGAATTCAACCTCGATGCCATCCTATTGCCGACGAATGGCTTCACAGCGGGTCCAGCTGCTATTGCAGGGTACCCAGTCATCACAGGTACGTGACATCCGGTCATATATATTATTCCACCAAGCGAGTATAACCTTTCCTATTTGATTCTACATTTTAGTACCACTAGGCTTCCAACCGGATGACTTAGCACCAACTCAAGCCGACCCAACCATCTCAAATGGTCCTGGTGTTCCATTTGGTATTAGTTTCATGGGCACAGCGTTCAGCGAGTTCAAGCTCGTCGGGTTCGCCTTTGCTTACGAACAGGCAACGCACAATCGGCTCAAACGCCTTGCGTTTTCAGAGGCAATTCCAAAAACACAGTTGCAGGACGTAGTTGGAAGCCGGGACTCGGAATAATTCCAGAAGGTTTTGTTATGAGCGGATGTACCTAAACGTTTTAACGAATGCGTCGAAATTTAGACGAGATGGCCTGGAATAAGCCTCGACAGATGACTGGTCGAGGGAAAACATACAGTCGGAATATCCCTGTTATAAATGTTAGAAGCAATACAACACGGGTCTCAGGTTACAAACAGATTATTCGGGGTGAACGAAGCCACAGACTCTGCTACAGCAAACTGCAAAGTAGTGCCCTTATGTCTCCCTTGAAACATCACTTTGTTATGACCGTGGTCTGATTTCTCGAATGCGGAAAGTACAGTCACTAGTGTATTGCGCTTCTCAGGACCGGCTCAAGTTGGCGCCTAGGATATAGGAGAGAGGCCTTGATAAAGGCGGATAGTTTGAGCCTTTACCAAAAATAACTAGCATTATAGTGAACTGAACGCCAGACTCTGCATAGCATGATTGTAATTTAACTACTACACCATCACGAAAAAGTCTTAAGTATTATACTTGCTTGTAATCTTGTATATTTTGTATATTTTATAAAATTTGTCCAATTACTTATAATCTTCCTGGGGGGTTAAGTAATGACAGTACAATGTTAGATAAGTAAGTAAGAATACTTTTAAAACTTGGCAATTTCTATTATAATTTTATAAATTGTCAAGTTATAAAAGTGATTATAACACTTTCTAAGATTACAAGACTAAGACATACTTATTTATTTGAGAAAGTATAATATCTGCTTATAATGCTTATAAGTCATTACAAGCATTTGAATGGTTTGCTTTTGCTTAGTATACAATTTTGTATCAAATAATTAATCAAATATAATTATATTTAAATTATAGAATACAAAAATAGTAATTAATACATTATTTCTACAATCCCAACCCCTGCACCACTAGCTGCCTCTGCCTCATTCTTTCGCGAGCAGAATTTGCATCGGTAAAGGATTAACACGTTCGAAGTAATCTTCGTCACCACGTCTTGGTCGTCACTGAGTCCCTGCAAGTTGAATTGCGTACGCGTGTGAGTTG